AGGACAATAGAAGCAATCAAAACCAACAAAAGAGCAATAATATGCAAGTGCTATATTAGTATTTTATTATCGTGTTATATTTCAATTTCACAAAGAAACGTGCAGCATTTTGTCCAAGCAATAATAAAAGGACAAATTTTATTTATAATTTGTCTTAAATCTAATTTTGTTTAAAAAAATCGTGAATCGAATCATGAAATCAAAACCGTGAATCGAATCGAATCGTGACTTGAGTGAATCGTTACATCCCTACCAACCAGACTTCTTAACTAGCTCAACCAGTTTCACCAGAAAGATCATGCTGGTCAACACTGACATGTTGTGTGGACAGATATAGTCTAACAGATTCCAGCTGGTAAGAGCTGTGCAGAACCAGCTGCACTAGAACAGTTGATTCAATTATCAAATATGTGACAGAAAATATCTCTAACGCATACAATACATGTATGAATAAAACATTCAGATAAGTAATACATAGAGGTATTTTTTGTTTTGTTTTTTTCTTTTTCCAAGAAGTTTTACAGTTTCTGGATTGATATCCCATTTGAATCTGAAGAATCCGAGTGTATCAATTTATTCCACAATCCAAATCACAAAAGCCAATACCCAAATGTGAATAATCCAAAACAGAAGTCAAAAATCTGGATTGTAAACAAGAAAACTGTATACAAGATTGTTTCAGAGAGCGAGTGACGTTGCTTCTTTGGCTGCTATAGTCCAAGTGTGAGTTTGACGCAGATGTCCTATAAAATCTCTATAAAACAAACCTTATAGAATCACACAAACATCATTAAACCCTTTAAAGAACATCTTTTCAGTTAAGTCATTAAAAGTGGTTGTGCTCCAAATCATTTTCTGGCATCAATCAGTTTTGATTCATACAAAATAAACTTATTATGGACTAAGAACAAACAGAAGATTTGTACAAAGTGCCCTATTTGCTGGGGTTTTTCCCCCTTTCTTTTAATTTATTTGATGGGGTTCTTGGAACTGTGCTTTTCTGGACTGTCAGTTGCTGATCCGCACCAGCACGCTCCATGACTCCTTATGAACCCCACTTCAGAACTGAAAAGCGATACAAGCAATATAATGAGATAAAATGCTCCCAAGACACATCCTGATTCTTAGTAAAAAAAAATGTTTATTTAAATAATAACACTCAACTAGGATTCATTGCAAAGGGAGTACGTGGAAAAAGAATCAATTATATGGTTGACATGTATGATTACCTTTTATTTGGTCTCCTGAGGGCGTCTCTCTCCACTTCTTTATGTTCACGTGCTGTTAAAACGTCTCTGGGCTCTCTGTTCAGCTTCTCTTGGGTTTGATACATGCCACTATATGGGTTAAACAGGGAAAAGTTAAACATACATGATATGTTAGTCCAGTGGTACGGTCTTGATCAACTTGAGAACTTCATGGAGTGTTTATGGCTGGATTTCACTTACATTAATCATGCAACTTAATTCATACTTAACCCTGTAAAGCCTACTGTATCATATTTAATACAGCCTTTAAAGGGTTAGTTCACCCAAAAATGAAAATTAGGCTGCGTTTTACTCACCCCCGAGGCATCCTAGGTGTATATGACTTTCTTCTTTCAGACGAATCCAGTCTGAGTTATATTAAAAATGGTCTTTGATCTTTCAAACTGTTTAATGCCACTCAGCGGGTGTTGCAGTGCTTCAGTCCAAAAGAAGTTAAATAAAAATCGCCCATCCATAAAAAAAGTGCCTCACATGGCTCCGGGGGGGGTGAACAAAGGCCTTCTATAGCGAATCGATGCGTTTTTGTAAGAAAAATATCCATATTCAAAACATAATAATCACTTGAATCTAGCTTGCGCTCACTGTTTTAAACAGAAGCACTTCCGGGGGAATGACGTATGTAGGTCGGCGTTGCGCATGCGCCGCTCAGAAGTGACACATGCGGAAACGCAGCGGAGAGATCAAAACAAAACAATGGACAAGAATTAGAAGTACAAAACGAGAATTTGTAAAGAAGAATGTCGGAGGATTTTGATATAAGCCAAGAGGAGACTGGTTTTCTTTTGCTAAAGTAAGGAAACTTTGCTTCCTTTGATTCTGTAAACAAATGTTGGTTTTCACGAGACTCACCGTCGCATGCGCAACGCTGACCCCATACCTCATGCTCCCGGAACTGCTTCCGTGTACAACTGTTGGTGCAAGCTACATTAAAGTGATTATTACGTTTTGAATATGGATATTTTTCTTACAAAAACGCATCGATTCGCTACAGAAGGCCTTTGTTCACCCCCTGGAGCCGTGTGAGACACTTTTTTTATGGATGGGCGATTTTTATTTAAGTTCTTTTGGACTGATGCACTGCAACACCCGCTGAGTGGCATTAAACAGCTTGAAAGATCAAAGACAATTTTTAATATAACTCCGACTGGATTCTTCTGAAAGAAGAAAGTCATATACACCTAGGATGCCTCGGGGGTGAGTAAAACTCAGCCTCATTTTCATTTTTGGGTGAACTAACCCTTTAACAAATCTTCTCTGAGAATCTGTTGTACACAATCTTCTACATGCCTTCTATCATCTACATCTACATGCCTAAACACTTACTGGACTGAAGCAACTTGGGTTTACCTAATTATAATTTTTTTTTGAAAAAAAAATGTTAAAATGTGAGTATCAAATATTTTTGAGGAACGTTTATTTGTTCATCGCTCAATCGTCATTGTATTGCATTGATTGCTTTCAATTTTTGCCCCCACAATAAAAACTAAAGAGCTTTGATAATTTAATTTACATTACAAGCTATCATATATTTCAAATTGCTGCACCAAATTGCATAGTTTTGCTTAGTTTGGGACTCTGAATAAAAATGATGTGTCCTACTTGAGTATGAGTTCCATATTCTCCAATATCATAATCTATGAGCTATAATGACGTATCAGATATGATAATTAGAAAAAAACACATATGCAAACTTTTTTCTAAAGGTTCAATAAACTGTTCCATAAAAAAACAAAAACATATTTTTAATGTTACATTTAAAATATGCATTTTTTTGTGACTATTATTTGATATGTCAGGCTTTACGGAGTTAAAAATTACTAATTTTTGCTCAGTGTTGCATTTAAAATCTGCAAATCTAAAACAAATGACATTAAAAATTGAAATGGGCACGACACTTCGGTATTTGTAAAAGCAATTAGTGTTGCTGATAGAGGCTGCATTTTGTGCAGCACTTAATCCAATTAGACTTAATTTCCTTGAGCATAAGAATCATTTTGGAGTCATTAATTTCATCCAGAAATCCACCTGCTTATCCCTGTTTCCTAAGCAACCCACAAATAGGTCATGTTGCTACATTACTTCTTTGTTCTCTCAGGCTGGCTAATTTGGAGTTCTTTGTGCAGCAGGACATTTCTCAGGGACTCAGTCTCTCCCTCATCATCCATTAAGTCTCTTTGAAGGCAACAGTTGGTCCCTCCCAGTGTCTCACAGAAGGCCTTCAGTAGGAGAAATGGATTAGTCCATTGTGTTATATATTTTTGTTTGTCAGGGATGTGGTTGTAAGCTGGTGTGACCAGATAATTGGATGCATTATATTTGGCTGAATGCAAAAGAATTAAAGTAACTGAGCGAGCTTACCCATCTCTCTCTAATATCGTCAAAAGCAGTGGGTGGGTCATCCAGACATAGGAATTCTCTGACTGCCTCACTTCAGTGGAGAGAAAGCAGTGTTACTCTGTTACCTCATGGTTTTCCATTCAAGTGTGACATTGTGGCAGCAAATAATCTTCACACATATCTTAACAACAGTGCAAGCACGTATTATATAGCTGACTGTGTTTGTCAAGCTCAATCATTCAACCCTGTAACTGTAGCAGAATATTTTTTTTTTATTAATATTAATAGGGTGAGTTTACAGTAACAAGACCAACATTTGGTCCCAAATTAATCAGCCCTACTTAGTGACTGTTTTATTTAGGCAAAATCTGCAACCTCGTTACCATTTCAGACAGCTCACATAATGATGTATTAACCTCTTGAGGTGGACAAACAACAATTTTTGAAGTGCATCCTTTCACTGTTCTTTATACTTGTTGATAAAGAACATTAAAAAACAAGATAATGAGTTCTCAAACAGGATTCAGATTCAGAATAAATATATATATATATTTTTTAAACCATTTATCATTTATTTAAAATGAAGTTGATTTCTGTAAAATTAGACCATTTTTATCCATTTACTCTAGTGTATGTGGGAAAGGGGCTCCTTTAAATTCGGGTGTGCCAAATTATAATTGAAATCCAAAATATGTACAAAATAGAGTTTAGGAGGTTAATTTGGGCTAAAACTATATATATATATATATTTTTTTTTTTTTTTCATTAATTTAAGCCTCTTTTGCACCTTGTGCAGATTTTAAATTCAGAACAATTTTTCTTAATACTGTACAGATTAAAAGCAGTATTAAACTTTGTCTCGGCACAACCAGCGGCTCTCACATGTTTTTTTTTCAGTCTGGTTAATGCATACTGTGGGACATTGTACCAAACCTATATGATTTTCTTTCTTCTTTCTTCTATTTTTAAGAATGTTTCAAATGTTTTGGCTCTAAAACAACAATGGACCCCATTGACTTTCATCGTAGGGACAAAACCAATTTTCAGTATATATATAATATATAATATATTATATATATATATATATATATTCCTTTGATATTTTGTCTTGGTTAGGGTTAAGTTATAATGCTCAACTTTTCCTTCCCATTTTGCTTTTATTTTATTTAGTTCCTCAGTGCTCTCTGCTTTGCTTTATATTATTCTAAATCTTTTTTCTTTCTTTCAGAATGATATGTCACTGAGCTGAAATGACCCGTGTTGAGAGGAATTGGAAACTTGACAGAGTTACAAGCCTGTTTTTATTCCTTCTTCGAAACCCCAACATGTTTATTTAGGCTACAAGGTAAGTGGATAGTAATTTACACGGCTGAGATCCAAAAAGGACAAAATGAAGCGCCATTTAAGTACAATAACAGTAATTCACAATATATATATATATATATGTAGTGTTCTGCAGAAGAAAGAATGTCATACAGGTTTGGAACAACATGAGGGCGAGTAAACGATGACTAATTTTTGAAGTCTGTTGGTAAAAGAAGCATAATGTAAGTACCTATTTCTCACATCTTTATGAGCAATCAGGTTTTGTAGAAAGTTTTGTAGGCCCAGTTGTCTCTCTTCTAGAAATTCAGCGCTGAAGTTCTTGAACCAACGCTTGGGTGGTAGCTCAAAGTTAACCGAAGGAAACACCTCCTTCAGCTGAAAACACACACATAAAGAGTCACCCACATCTAAAAGAAGGAAATGCTAAGAAAATCTGAGCATGTGTCCATTACTGCACTGTCAGCTGACATGAGTCACCTGTGCCTGACCTTGTCATGTAGTCGAGAAAAGTCTGTGTATCGTCTAAAAATGTGCCAGCTCTCTTCTGGCGTCCGCTTCACTAAGATCTTGTAGACCTGAGAAGTGCAAAAAGGGAACATCATGTCCTCTTTATCACTAAAAACTGCCTTTGAATCATTTTCCAACTGTTTCCATGTGATTCTTAAAGGGATAGTTCACCTAAAAATGAAAATTCTAGCATTTACTCACCCTCAAGACTTTTGTTCATCTTCGAAACAAGAATAAATGTATTTTATAATGAAACTGACAATGAAAACGTTCATAAAAATGATGTAAAAGTATTCCAATTCAGTGATTCAAACCAAGTATTCTGAAGAGACATGATCATTTTAAATGATTTAATTTTGGTTTTTATTCACATATAAACATCTGATTAATGCACATTGATTCATATGGATCATATTTACAATCATCAAAATTTTGCGTACATGGACTTTCAATGGAGAGACAGAAATCTCTCAGGTTTCATGAATAATATCATAATTTGTGTTCCGAAGTTACGGTTTCGGAACGACATGAGTTTATTTTTGGGTGAACAATGCCTTTTTATTTAGGTTTGTTTTGAAACAAAGGCACAAAATGACTGAAGAAGACACTTGTATGATACGTTTTGGGTACATGGACTTTCAATGGAGACAGAAATCTCTCAGGTTTCATGAATAATATCATAATTTGTGTTCCGAAGTTACGGTTTCGGAACGACATGAGTTCATTTTTGGGTGAACAATGCCTTTTTATTTAGGTTTGTTTTGAAACAAAGGCACAAAATGACTGAAGAAGACACTTGTATGATACTTTTATGATGCTTTTGTTCCCTTTTAAAGTGTGAAGCGCCAGTCCCCATTGTTTTAATTGCAAGTATAATAATATTATTATTATTAATATTGTGTTTCACACGGAAGAAACAAAGACATGCTGGTTTGGAACAACATGAGGGAAAGAAAACGATGACAGAGTTTCCATTTTGGAGAGAAATATGCCCATTGAGGGCTATACATCTAAAATATGAACAACAGACAATCTAATATAAATTCATGACAGGAGAGTGAAAAGAACCACAAATAAGTAAATCCTTACTGTAAACTTTGTCTTTTCCTCCATGACCTTATATCCAAGCAGGGTGACCTTGAGTGTCCTTTCTTCATTGCTTCCTCTGCTAAATCCATTGCTGTAATACTCCATCACATTCCCTCTCCTTACAATATCGGGACTGTGGTTCTGGTAAAACATGTTGTATCTTCTGCAATGGACCTGGTGAAAAGAAAAGAGTCATAAATCGAATGTTAGCAGAAGTTGACTGAATGTCATCTTCTGCATCCCTCACTATTAAGAGAAGTGAATCAGGTCACAAATGAGACAACCAAACCACTCCTTCTTCTAAAGTCATTTGTATTTGCACGGTATGGTAAATGTGGATCTACAAAAACAATACATTTCCGATACCCCCCCCCCTATTTATTTCATTTTAGCTACATTTTATTACAGTTATCTGAAACAGTATTGCAGAGTCATGTAGCATCTGAGAAAAACAATGACAAAGTATCAACGCATTTTGTAATGTAGTTAGTCATTTAATTAATGAATAATTAAAACTGGTCCATTCTCCCTCCCTGCTGTTTAATGACTGGTTTCACAACACCATAAAAGTTCCCCAATGACTGCCTTTGTCTTGCA